TTTCTTTCATTTATCTGGATTTATTTCAGGTTAAATGAGGAAAAACACTTTGCTCATTGGGTCCTGAATTTAAGCAGTATTAGATCAGACGAATGCGCTTGAACCTGAAGAGCTTATTCGATATGCTATTGAGCTGAAACTTCAGTTGAAGTTGATAAGATTATTTGGCCTGAAAAAAATTCGAAATATGCCTGATTAGCTAACCTTCACATTAAGAAATATTGGATTTATTTCTTGGTTCCCATTTTTGGATGACGGATCTCTGTAAAGTGGGATAACCGACCGATCCGTTACACTGGATGAGTCCAAAGTTCACGGGTGGTGGGCCTAATGGATAAACGAATCTGCCGTTGAACCACTGTGGATCCAACACTTAAACAAAATAAACCATTGGCCTTTCGTTTCATATACGGTCTAAAATCTCGGCCTAAAATCTTAATATTTTCTATTTTTTATTGAGCGATGTTTGATCGTGAAAAAAGGGGGAATTCAGGAAAAGCGGGAGGAAGAAAGAATTGATTCAAGAAATCGGTGCTGATTGTTCCAGCATATAGAAAATTTGATTTCTTATCCCTTGCACGCTGCTGCAACAAGAGTTTTTCGCCTTCGCCTTCTGATTATCCATAGAATGAAGCCAATCCAGCAGGCAATTAAATCGCCAACACATCTTCATTCAGCTCGAATCTCGATATAATGACAACGTTCGACTTCGTCTTTGCATCAAGATCGAAGTTGCATCAAAGAGAACGATATTTCATCTTCAGATTGTTCCAACGTCAAATCTGCCGTCGGCTTTCATCTCAAGGTCGGCCCGGCATTATAGCAACTGTTGTTCCTGCCTCAAATTGACTGTCGTCTACCCATCTGAGGATCAAGTCTTAATCAAAGTGAGTGGCAATCTTATCTTCAGGCCAACCAATGTCATATTGATCATTGTTTTCATCAAAAGCTCAAGCTAGCATCAACTTGCTCAATGCTTCCATTTAACTGATCCAAACAAATAGAAGATCGTGCATGATTTGGTAAATTTTCTCCCTCTGATTTATACTAAATTGGGAGAAATCAGATCACCTTAGAACCTGAAATTTAAGCAGAGAGAAGTGGGAAGGTTCTTTGTTCTGGGAAACCTAGAGCCCTATGATTTAGAAGAAAGTTTTGAGGGATCCGAGACTGAAATTCAGCGTGTAAAATGCTTAGAGAATTATACAAAAAAAATATATCCTTTGAGAGTAGATGTAAATCAAGAGGACCAAAAAAACTATAAATTCGTGGAAAGATATTTTGAGGATTATGTTTTTGGATATAACTGTATTAAAAGGAAACTGTTATTAGTTCACTCCCCTTTTGTGATATCATACCGCCACTTAGAGCCTAATTGCGAAACACTTGAGTTGGCCTCTTATAGGTCATCCATTAGGACAACTTTCCTTATGCTTTATTAGTTTAGTAATAGTTTTCTTCATTTTAACAACTCTCATCTCTTAGTACACTTCTAATAAGATTTATCATTTTAGAGATATCCAAGTTCTGTTTTCCCTCGAACTCTACCTTCACTCTGCACATACGTGTCCCAACTCTTGACCGGTGTGGTTTTCTACCCTAATCAAAGTTATAGTTTGAATATCTTTCCTGAGGAAAAAATGGCCCCTCAAAAAATAGAAAATTAGCATATCTATCGATCTAGGTTCCTGGTAGCATTAACCTCAAGCCCATAGTATGGGTTGGGTGCACTGCCCACTTGCATTCCCTTCGTGCTTTTTTAGAGCTCAACCCCCTGCATACGTTTCTCTCTGTAAAGTGACGTCGACTTCACATAGCAGCATGGACAACTCGAGAGACGATGACTACATTATCAAGTTACCAATTGGTCGTGATACTTTCCCATTGTGATTATTCTTGCATTTTTTTTCTAAATATGATTGGAGACTTCAGTTAGGTTTATAGTCCTGCAAGATACGGTACAATGTAAGCTACCTGAACATATTTCTGCCTCATTCATTATCTAAATGGTTTTTTGATCATGTTCCTTCCCAATGAGACTTGGCTTGTAATCAAACGATTCAGACAATAACAGATTTCTACGGCAGAGAAATACCTGAGGTATTGGCCTATGCTTACTGTTTTTTGCATAATTTATCCCATCTGAATCTGCCTATTTACCAACCTATATCTAAACGTTCTCAGTGCTGAACCCCCCACAATCATCTCTACTACACTGCTCTAGAGGATTAGAGGTGGTGATGAGCTGGGCAGCTAAATCGAGGATCTTGTTAATCATTGTCTTAACAAGCCCATCATGGATGCCTTAGTTGACTGATCAGACTAGTTGCAGTGTTCACTATTTATAGGAAACATACGGACTTTCATCTGTTCCTCCCTCTCTCTTTTTTTGTCCTTCTTAACCTCCATTTAAAGTGCAGTGGTATTGGTAACGGATGTGTGAGTCGATTTTTTCGTTTTTCATTCCATCCCTCATTTGGCTTATTGAGAAGTTCAGAGTTGGGTCTTCCTATATTTAGGGTGGATGGTGACTCATTTGGGGCTCGAAGGTATGTTCAGAGCACATCACAAAGACCAGGAAGACGAGCTAAAAATATCTAATCCTCTTGTAAGGTTCTCTTTTTATGTACTTTGAAAAAAATCTCTTCAGCTCTGTCCATGGATGATGAAGGATATCTCCAAACCACTTAAACTGTGCTTCATGATCTTCTTTACATTTCAGTGTGTATTATATCTTATCCATAAACTTGTCCGCAGTTCTTTTGGCACATTTATGCTCGGCGGGTATTACTTACCCTTCTTCTATCACAGTATGAATGCATCTTCAAGAGGGTCAACATGGGTCCCCAGCATGAACAAATCTGAAGGCTTATTCGTGATGCATCATCATCGCTGCCACAATAAATTCCTATAAGATTTAGGAACTCGAGCCTAGGAATAGGAAACATGAAACCTTAAGAACAAGAAAAAGATGAGCATAACAAAACCATGCCAATCTACGGACTACATATGATTGTTACGAGGATCATGAACTTATATTGTTTGATAATTCCAATTTTTGAACTTAAAATTTCGTAAAACGAAGTTTACATCATGTTGCAGTTATCCGATTTAACATACAACTTAGGACATGTAACAGATTTAGTCTCAATTTTAGGTTATTTCTGGATTTTAAGGCTTTTCTTCCATTGCCCCCAACTTATTTGTAACTATGGGGTGGGACTTAAGAAGAGTGGTTTCAGTGTACTCATAGGCCAATGAGAATGTCGAATTTAGCCTTTTTGGTGAGCACCTCACCTTTCAATTTAAGTGATGACTCACTGGTCAATGGAGCGGGCTCCTTTTTTTGGCCCTTTTTGAAAGCTCCGATGGGTTTCCTGTGTATGGATACTTAGTGGCTAATTTAGTATTGGAGAAGCGGCAGCTCTAGTGATAATAATCATACTTAATCGCGAAAGCTAACTGACGGGAAATTGTAAATAATATCGAATATATTTTGTGTAGCAATAATATTGTTCATTGACATTGGAGTAGCATCACATGGGTCGGGGAGAGGATATTTCAGCATCACACCGTGGGCTTTCAGTTAGATAGCCCACTAATTTCTCTTGGTATCAAACATTTGGTTTTATATTGTTAGATAGCACCCAATTGACATCATTTTCGTGGCAAAAGATTTGGCCTTTGCTATCAATAACGTTACCAGTTATCCATCAGTCTATAGCAACGACTCCTGATTATAACCCCATGCGAACCCAAGGACGTCTTCGAGGAAGATAATTCATGCCACTACAGCAAAGAAAGGAGTTACCACCTCCGTAGTTGTTCTGGATAACAACTGAATTAGTTTTGCGACCTGGCGATTCTTCTTCGTTTCTCGCTGGCTAAGTGGGAGATCACATAGAAACCATGGCTATTACGCCAAGTCTGTAGAGGTGGTGGCAAGTCAAGAGATGGCCCGCCGTATCCCACAGGGATATCAACATGAATCAAGAGATTTTTCCTGATCACAGCCGGATACAGCCAACAGGGTTCCCTGTCACATACGGTTAGTCCGCCAAATACTGGCATCACACGAAGTAAAGCCCTAGTACGTCGGCCCACCTCCGAGAGTGAAGACAATTACGAAGCGATCGGAATGTCTACCTGCCGGACCGCCTCCACACGCACTCCCGATTGTGTTGACTTTGTTGTTCATCGTGAGATGAAACCTCGCGTTGTGTTGTTCAACGCAGTGATGTCGGCACCTAAGACAAGCTTCTCGAGATGTCGGATTCCTCCCTCTTCTTCTCAGATAATTTGTTAGCCATTTCGGTTCACCCATTACTTTGTGGTTGCCGTTCACTTCAGACCGAAGGGGAAGTTCTTTCGTTTCTCACTGGAACTAATCTCATTACTGAGAGAGATCCCATTGCTCTTACTTCGAAGCTAGTTTACATTCGTGTGTTTATCTGGGCTGTCTCGTTCCGTAAGGAGACACCATCGCCGATATTTCATCCCCGTATCATCTTTTCTTGTCATGCTCGAATGTTTAAAAGGTGCATTATATTGGAAAGTGAATATCTCACTTCAAGTTAGTGCTTTTATATAACGAGGAGGAGAGATGATGGACCAAGATTATAAGCCGTACGCTATCTAAACCACCCTGCAAGTTATGGCATTCCTTATCCTCGGTTAGCCTCACTTCTCGTGGTCGGAAATCGTAATGAAAGGCTGGAATGGAGGTCACATCAGTGTGAAACTATGGAAACGGGGGTCACCCAGCACGGTCATTTTCTTTGAAAACTTGCTCGTCGCCAGAACCACGTTCTCATGATCAAAACTTCGAAGCCCGCCGTCTTCCCTTTCAAGGAGCAGTGTTGCCGCTCACTGCACGGTCCATCACAGCCCGGCATCTACTATCTCCGCTCTATAAAAACCCTGCCCTACTGCAGCACTCAAGCACGCACCAAGTAGTTTTTTCCTCTCCCACATTCCTTCTGCCCCGTATTTCCCCTGCCATGGCTTCCAAGCTCTACGCCACTATAGCAGTCCTCCTCTGTATCAACCTGCTCCTCACCGGCTTGGTCTCCGGCACCTCTTACGTCCCGTCTCCCTCGCCACCGGTGAAGCTTCCACCGCCCGTAAAGCCTCCGCCATCATGCAGCTCTTGCCAACCTTCCTACCCCTCCTGCCCCAGGGACGCTCTCAAGCTGGGCGTGTGCGCGAATGTACTCGACCTGCTCAAGCTGAAACTTGGGAAGCCGCCCAGTGAACCTTGTTGTTCCCTCATCAGCGGACTCGTTGACCTCGAGGCTGCCGTGTGCCTCTGCACCGCCATCAAGGCCAACATCCTCGGCATCAATCTCAACATCCCCGTCGATCTGTCGTTGCTGCTCAACTTCTGTGGCTACTCCATTCCTCCTGGGTTTAAGTGTGCTTGATTCCGCCCAAAACTAAAACCCCACTATCTATGTTTCTATCTATCTACTCAGTTGTGGAAGAGCGAGGGAGATTGCTTGACAAATACCTCAGACTCGAGTACAATAAGAGAAGTCATGTTTGTTCGCTATGTAACTATGAGATCTGGAGAAACGCATTGTATCCCATTCAAGTACTTACGCTTGAGAAATAGACGATGCTTGTTAATCATGTTCATCAGCCGAAGGAGATAGATTATGCAGTCAACTGGTCAACTGTTTCCACCATTCTTGGAAGGTTATGTCACTCATGTCCAAGTCACGCGCGTGGCCATTCACGCTTTAGAAATTGATATTAGAGGCAGTATTAGTCTCATGGATTGGAAATAAGTGACCAGGAGAAGCCCAGTATGTATCTCCGCAGCCCTTTTTCGTTTGTTCTTGGTGTTTCTTCGCCCCCCACCATGGAGCTCTTGGTTGTGCTCCAAGTTTCCTGGACGTCACTAAAACTGTCGCAAAATGCCTTTTATAGGGGACAATTAGACCCCAGAAGCTTCAAAAGTACACGTCATAGTGTAGCCATTCTGGGCCACATAATCTGGTTTCCAAGGTCAAAGCACTCGGATCCCACCTGGCAATTTGACCCTCATAATCTGGTTTCCGAGGTCAACACACTCGGATCCCAATATTTACCTTGACCTTTCGGAGCTATTAGCGGCCAGGTGCCTAAGCATTGTCTTCTCAGCCGCAGCTCACTCAGGCTTCACGATTAGCACCACTCTAGCGTGCGATTTCTCCTTTTATTTGTTTTTTTACCCAGAATTCTAAGTGCATAAAATTTTTAATTAATGATTTTCCTAAGAGACGTCTCGGCTATTAGAGTAACCTATTGAATCTTAATTTTATCATATTTCCCTAATTAGGACAATTAAGTAAAAAAAAATAGTTTCCATTATTTGTTGACTGGAAGATTGGAGTAACAGGGCTTGCTTAATATGTATAAATATGTATAAAAGCACCAAAGCCGTCCAAAACATAATTTTATCAGAAATATTTGCCATACAGGGTTTTTATTCCCGGGTCAACGGTCCAACCCACAAACCCACGTGGAAATATTTGCCCAATATGGTTAACGAAGAAAGATTCAGAATGTCGTTAGAGCAGTGCTTAGGAACCACGATCAGATTCAGACTGATTTCCCTTTCAGGGTGGGGTCCGCAAACCAGGGCCACTCGACTTCTCGGTACAGAGAGAATGTTAGTGCCCAAAAGTCAACTCTCGTTCCAACCCCATCGGCCATACAGAATTTTTATTCCTAGGTCAACGGCCGCACTCCAAATCCAGAACATCAAGCGACGCGCTTGAGGGGGTTAACCTGATCTTTTCAATCCAAGAAGAACGGAATCATGTTCTCTCCACCAAATGATCTCGATCTTGCTTCGCGAGGGCGAATAAGAAGAAAAATGAGAGCGGAGAGAGAACCTGGAGAGGTGCCTCTGAGTCAATCGTACTCGAGTTCATCGGGCGTGACGGGTCTCTTCAGAGGAACGACGGATTTCCTGTCGATATCCTGCGACAGCGCCTTCCTCATATCTGAAGAAAAGCGACGACAAGCGCAGTGAGAACAGGGCGGTCGGCACAAGCATTCTCTTCTCACGGTTGACTTTTCTTGGCGGCGGCAGAACAGACTCACCTAACCCGTCTTCTTCTCCGGAATAATACCGCAATACACGTCGATAGATGATGTATCCCAGCTGAAACCAACCAGTTCAGATCAAGGAGTATGTTTCTTTTAATACAAGGATTTCTGACATCTGGTGGTGCAAGGCAGAGGAACCGACCTTCTCGTACATCTTGATTGCCGGCATGTTTGATGCTCTCACAAACAGGTCAACGAAGTATGCCTTATCCCTGAAATAAGCAGACCTTCAAATCAGGATTCAGCAGATTCTGTTGACTAAAATGAACGGTTGACTAAAATTTGGAAGAAATACATCTGAAAGGCGTTGTGCAGGTATGTCAGCAAAACATCTACTATCTATTTCACTATTCGGTTCCAGTAAAGAAGGAGCGCGTGAAAAAAAACCAAAGTCAACTGTTTGACTTTTGTGGAGAAGATTTCAATGTCAGACAACATTCAATTCAATACAGCCAGCCCAAACAGGTGGACGCACAGCCAGATCAAGATAGAAACAACCAGCTAGGGAACGGACGGCTAATCAACTCCCAATTGGATGAAGGCTTGCCCAATGGAGTTCGTGTCTGCCTCCAGGAACTAAAAATCAGTTGCCAACAATACGGTCAAACAAGAATGATAGATCAGTAACTAAAAAAGGAACTATTCTGTAGTCCATTATCATCAGGCAAACGTTCTATGTGCGACAGACAGGAACTGAACCGGAGCCATCGATGACTTGACAGCCATATGTTTGCTGCCATTGCGCACAGGGGCTGGCTACACAGAGTCTACGTTCAAGCATACAAAGCTCACTGGTTCCATGTCCGTGGTACAGTTTCTTCTGGATCCATTCCTCAACAGAAGAAAGAAAATATGATCCTAACTGCAATTTCTCCAGCAGCTGTATCTCACTTGGGAATAAACATCCCTGTCTACAATAACATGTAGTTCAGCTTCTGGAAGAGTAATAATTTGGCCCCATTTTTGCCTCGTCTCCTTACCTTTGATCTTCAGACATCTGCTATCAGCTCGGTACAGCATGTTCAAACTACTTAGCTGAAGGACAGCTAAAACACGAGTAACCAATTTCGATTCAACCTAACAACATGTCAACATGAACTGCTTTCTAGATGAGAGAAATCTAAAACTTCTTCATCCAGTTCCCCACTCTCCCCCACAGAGAAAATCCTGTCAAATCATAGAACTGCACCTAAGTTGAAAGAGAAAAAATCACGGAGCATCTCAAGAGAAAAATCATGTATGACAAGAGCCTATGACAAGGATCCAGAATAACCTAAACCAATCATACATCTGTATTTCCAAACAGTTTAGTGAATATTGGTACCCAGAAATTTTAGTTAAGCAACTCCAATTGAATGGCCCTTTGAAATGCTGGTCAGTGTCACATTCTGTGAGACAGCCTACAATGCTATGAACCCATCTCGTGTAAGCACACGAAGGAAAGATACACAACAGTGACAAAACCAAAAAAGGTAATTCAGCTGTATAGTTACTTGTCACTTATGTCCTCCAGCAAATGCATGAGCTTCTTGGCTAATTTCTGCCTTCGGTATTCTGAAGAAACAGTAACTGCAGTAACATGTCCATGCCACGATTCACCCTGCCCTTCAACCTTTCCCATGACTGCATAAAACTCAAATCACAGTGAGAAACCTGCCGAATAATATTTGCTGGTGGTTGAAGAGGAACAGGCAAAGCATGAAAGAAGCAATAAACACAATCGTAAGCAAACTGGAATTCAAATTATACACTTAGACAAAGATCCTCGCAACATATGATATGATGAACTGAATATTTTACAGTGACTTACAAGCAGCACATAAAATTGCATTACACCGGGACATTTTCTTTATTCATATGTTCAATGAACATACTAGATCAGAAGAGACCCAAGGAGTATTTTCAATTAAAAAGTAGTTAACAATAATGTCCCAAATTCAATGTAGACCTAAAGAATTCAATGTCCCCAATGCTGGAGTTAACAACAACAACACTAATCATTCGTTCGACTTTAGGTTACTGCATAAAATAAATAGCAATTCGTAGGACTATGACCCAATAAGCCAACCCAAATGTGAGGAAATGATGATAAATACCATTTGAAATGGATTCGTCACCTTCCACTTCCCATCGAACTGATATCTATCATGCAGAACTTTTACCATACTTCATTCATTTTCGAACTTTCTCTTTCTCCTCATAAGGAGCAACTAAAGTTTCTAAATTGAAAACAAATAAATATGCACTTCTCCATCAGATTGGACCCTAAACAGTTCTCTTGAAATGATCAAGTAGATCAGTAAGGAGAAACAGAGTCTAAAGAGACAAAAAAAATGGTTTCTTCATGCTTGAAAGAGAGGAAGAAACATTAAGAAGCATGTACAATTCATAACATCAGAAATTATACTTAAGATATTCAATCAGTGTCATAGGTATGAACACGGATATGAACATCTCTGTTGGCGACAACAGGGTAACATTGCAACTATGTAAAAGAGAAGTGACAGGATAATCAGTTCTCTGCACAATCCAAACTACGCTGAAGATTGTGATGTCAAGCAATTATGCTGCAAACGAAAACAGTAGCATCTACTCTTTCGAATTATACATAACACCACCTACAAGTAAACACTCTATATATGCAGGGGGTCGGTCTCTGCTCTGGGAGAAAAAATACTCCCAACTGATATTTCAAAAATACACAACAGACTGGCATTTATTCGCTTGCTTACGGTAGGTTTTAATGATATTTCGGTTTTATTGATAGATACGAATCAGAAAATATTTCTCATTAAAAGCAGCACAGTCGTTTTACCTCCATTTTTTACTTCAACAGTCCCAAAGACATTCTATTTTTAGAGTTCACACACCAATGTAAAATGAAGCAAGATAATTAATTTTCAAACAACGAGAAAACCATAAATAAATAAAAAATTCCAAGGAAACCGTAGCGGACAGAAAATATTTCCACAGGGGACGAGGTGGATAATTCAAAGAAGTACTAGTGGATAATTTACGGAACCACTGCAGAACAATTTCACCAAAAAGGGGCGAGGAAAAAAGGAGCATATACAGGCTCGAACGAATCTACGGACAAACTCCTACCGAATGCCATTGATCAACGGAAGAACAGATTTTCATTGCACACATTAAAAGGATGAAAATGTCCATGACACAGCAAAACCTAGGACGCAGGGATGGACGCGTACTGTAACCCATTATCCTGTTGCCAGGAGCCTCGGCGACGTGAAAATAATCCGGCCACCGAGCAAGATACGTCATGTAGAAGGACATATTGAACTGTCACAAGCAATTTCCGGTCAGAGCGGGAGAGAAAGAGAGATAGAGTAACGTTAAGGAAAAGAAAAAGGAAGGACAGCTTGAGGGAGCTGCTATCCACTCACAGTTTCGGTCAGATGGTCGAGATTGACAGAAGCGAAGCGGAGGAGGTCGTTGCAGCAGAACCGGCGGATAGTCGTCATCTCCGGCGACGGGAAAGCGGCGGCGGCGACGGCGGCCGGTGATCTATGGAGGGGGAAATCCACAATAACAACAACAGCAACAAGTCTCCGGCCCCAATTGGAATACCGATTGCCGGAGCCTCCACCTACTAAACGGTTACGGAGTACCCTCATCTGAACAAAAAGGACATAATTCTAAATATCTTTTACCAAAGAAAAAAAGATGGAAACGCCTTGGCGGCCCAATAGAAAATCAGAAACCATGGCCCAGTAAGAAAAACAAGGCCCAGCATCAGGCGAGAGAGCAATAAAGTCCGACAGCAGAGGATATGAACGGATAATTAGTGTCTTTATGGGCCTAATAAGAAAGTACGGAGCCCAGCCCATGGAAACCCAACTACATAGAGAGATAATCAGTGCAAGAACATGGACAAATTGGAAGGCAAATGTATTCATAGCTTGATAGGGCAATGAAAATGGATAAATTGGTTTGTAGATAGATTGAGAGAGAGAGGGAGGGAGAGAGAGAGGGAGGGAGAGAGAGAGGGAGGAGAGAGAGAGAGAGAGAGAGAGAGAGAGAGAGAGAGGAGAGAGAGAGGAGGGAGAGAGAGAGAGAGAGAGAGAGAGAGAGAGAGAGAGAGAGAGAGAGAGAGAGAGAGTGGGAGAGAGAGGGAGGGAGGGAGGGAGAGAGAGAGAGAGAGAGAGAGAGAGAGAGAGAGAGAGAGAGAGAGAGAGAGAGAGAGAGAAGAGAGCGAGAGAGAGAGAGGGAGAAGGAGGGAGGGAGGGAGAGAGAGAGAGATAGGAGAGAGAGAGAGAGAGAGAGAGAGAGAGGAGAGAGATAGGAGGCAGAGAGAGAGAGAGGCAGAGGGAGGGAGAGAGAGAGAGAGGGAGGGGGAGAGAGAGAGAGAGAGAGAGGAGAGGGAGAGAGAGAGAGAGAGAGAGAGAGAGAGAGAGAGAGGAGAGGGAGAGGGAGAGGGAGAGGGAGAGGGAGAGGGAGAGGGAGAGGGAGAGAGAGAGAGGGGGGGAAGCATCCACCAAATGGCTTTCATGCTGACCCAACCGGCTATCAGAAAATCTATACATTAAAAACTTAGAGCACATGTACTTTTGAGAACGGATTATTGATGAAACCCTAGAGGCTGCATCAATATTGATAGGGAGACATAAACCTAATGAAGATGTCCGTAAATCTACCATAACGATAATTTTCTGAAATCAAATATTATTCCGGAACCAGACTGGGTTAGTTTGGCCCGATCCCGTCTAGACCCGGTGTTTATCAGGATCTTCTGTGTTGAGAGAATGCGCTCTATAAAGGATGGATGAAGAGGGCCAAGTCAACCCAGTGTTCAGAAAGGGTCCCACAAAGCCCTTTTTAGAGACCATTTCTAGCCCTCGATAGAGGACGCTTGGACTTATGATGAAGTCGCCAAGCTTGTGATATCTTGGAGAGGTTGACCCGGTGAAATAAGGGTAATCTCGTTATCTACGTAAGGCGTACATGTCTGCCGTCATCGGTCATAAAGGGTCGTTGAGACAACGTCATCTTCACCTGCTCCAACAGTGACACCCATTGAAGGGCGTCAGCCCGGACTGCTGAACAGCTTCCTGTGATAAGGACCGTGGCGTTGTCCCCGTCCACTCTTGGGAGGACGCTGGGTGTTGACTTTTTTGTTGAGTTTGGTTTCCGAGACGTCTAATCTTCTTAGAGGGACTGATTGCGTCTTCCCACCGGGATCATTAAGACCCTGACGAAGATGTATAATCATCATTCCCTCGGACATAGCTCTACCCGTCTAACTGGAAATCTAGGTATCATATCATCAAGAAGGTAGACGGGCATCGGATGATTCCTGATGACACGATCTGATGGTCCGCTGTAGCTCGTAGGAGCTTATCGCCTTTGCGCTGATAGGTTCCCGTATTTATTCAAGGGTTCTACTTGAAGAGTCGATGACGATTGATTCATGTGTCTACCTACCTACTCTGGATTTGGACATGCTTGGTCGCCAGCGGGTTGGTTGCCCTAGTTCTGATAATCAGGACGAGCGTCTTTGTAGGGGGGAAGGGGATCCGGATCCATTAGAAAACATTCCGCTGCTACGTAACGCTATCTTCATATCAGCCTGCTCAACGTTTTTCTCTGTAGGCAACCGTTCCAGCAGGCAACTGGGTCCGCTGTCATGATGAAGAGAGATCCCAACCTTCACGTCGACAGGCACTATCTAACTCCTTCCCCGCGCTGACTTGGGTTGTTCATCCTTGGAAAGGGCTGAGAGAGAGAGAGAGAGACCTACTGAGCTTTCGAGTTAGATGGGTTTGAATTATATCGTGTGATTGAACTTTTAGATGGCGTAGTCGTGCCCATGATCCTTTGCCCGGATGAGGGAGGATGTGGCCTCGTTCTTTAATGACACCTTAAAATCCATCATATTTAATTCAAATAAAAGAGATGGAGTTCGCACTGAATAAACCCAAAATATCTTAGAATTATGTTTCCTGAAATTATTTAATAGAAATACCATACTTGCTCTCTGTATAGATGAGATCACCCTACTCATTTTTCCTTTCTGACTGAGTAGAAAAAAATTCATATATTGAACCTTTCCTAAGTTGGGTGAGAGCACCAGAACCTGAACCTATTACTCTATTTTAATGCCTTCAGTGGGAGTCCCATTAGGCAACAAATTTTATTATTCCTATTTTATCTTCCCACCTGTAATATTTTCTTAAGAACTAAGCAATACCATCCTGACTTAGTACTTGGGTTATCGATGGGTTTTGAAAACCCTGAAGTGTGATCTGGGCCCAGCTTTTCCGGGCACGCCTCTCTATCTCTCTCTCTCGCTCTTCCGGACCCAACTAAGTTTATCTTGCTTTCTGCGGCTTATGACAGTAATTTATCGTATTCTTGTCATCGTATTCTACTTATCATTGAATTGCCTATTATATATTTGATTCTCGATCAGTAATAGCTACGCCCCACCAGATTTGTATGTTTGATTGGCCAGTCCTCATCACGAAGATTATTCGAGGAATCCAGCATGTTGCGTTTCTTGCAAAAAAATAGCTCTTAGTAGAGATGTTAGTCATGCGTGCTCGAGATTCCGATTATTTCATTGATTTTTTATTCTACGTCCCCGAAGTAGATTCCGATTAAGACCAAGGAGCATCATCGTAAAATAATTCTAAGAGACGCTCCTCGCAACGGCAAGATTAGTTTTTATTTGGGCTGGTAGGTTTTCGGCAGTCCAATTAATGGACAGCTGTGGAGTAGCATATACCAGGAAACACCGACGAAATGAGCTCTCCTGGTTGACTTGAGAAGGAAATGAGCAACCGCTCGTAGAGTCGTCTAAACTTCGGGTTTCCCTTGTACCCTCCCCAAACCGGCCTAAAGAGCCTGTCCTCATACTGATTAACAAAATAAAACCGTAGAAAACAAGTACAAATAAACCTAGATGGCGATGAAGTTGACTATCTTGTCGCCTGCCATACCCTGCATGTGGAGACGGTGTCCTCCCTTCAGCCGCGCTGGTTCAATTCCTTGTGCCGACATTACATCATTCGGAAATCGAAATCGGATGAACTTCGTCCTTCCATTGCATAATGAATCCAGGATAAAAGTAGGAACACGACTGTGAAGAACACAGGGATTTCCATCAGTGTTGATGAATCTCCACAGCAGTCTGCCTCTAACCTCATTCTTTCTAATCTATTTCCTAGGTCTAATATCTTCAATTTGTAAGAGTTTAAGGGCGGTGGACTGCAGAGACTCGGCGGTCAATTTGCATTCTTTGGATTTTAGTTTTTCTTTGTTTGTTTAATGGGGGAGAAGCATCAAGTCGCTGTCAACCAGAGCCGAGGTCTCTTACTATAAATATCTGTTAATCTGTGAGAACGTGGGTGCGCTTGTCTGTCCATGTGCAGCCCCACGGAGACGGGTAACACACAGAAGAGAAGAATTGAACGTTCACCGTAGAAATGTGACGAGAACAGGAAAGCGGAGAGGAAGATGGGTCGGGCTCGAGCTCCTTGCTGCGAGAAGGTTGGGTTAAAGAAGGGCTCTTGGTCTCCAGCAGAGGACGTGAGACTCATCGCGCATATTCAGAAGCATGGCCACGGCAATTGGCGTACCCTCCCTCAACTAGCAGGTCTCTCTCTCTCTCTCTCTCTCTCTCTCTCTCTCTCTCTCTCTCTCTCTCTCTCGCCTATGAAATCGTAACAATACCCTGAATTCAATATAAATTCTCCGGGCACATACATAATTTTACATATTTATGGATGTCGGACTTACTATATTTTCTATTCTTGTTTTCTTCTGTCTACTGCGTGACAGAGCTCTGATGTCCGGCTTTTGCGGTCTTGCAAGTGCAGGTCTTCTGCGATGCGGGAAGAGTTGCAGGCTGAGATGGATAAACTATCTCCGGCCGGACATCAAGAGAGGGAACTTTACCAAGGAAGAGGAAAACGTCATAATACACCTCCACCAGACGCTCGGAAACAAGTAAGAAACAAGGAGATTAACGTGCCCTCACTTTTACCAAGAAGAGAGTTAAAAGTTAAAAAACGTTCATCTTTCATTCTCGCGTTCGATCGATCCTATGACAGAATCTGATCCTAGATTTAACTTTCGATGAGTAGGGTTTATCGATTTTCATTAATCAAATAATCAATGTTGGGCCTTGTAATAACCTGCAATTGTCACAATGCAGGTGGTCAAAGATCGCATCCTGCCTCCCTGGCAGAACGGACAACGAGATTAAGAACATCTGGAACACACACTTGAAGAAGAGAGTAGCATTAGCAGAGAAAACAAAAGAGCCACCATGCTCACCGATCTCCAATTCGTCGGTATCTTCTTGTTGTCAGTCCGGCAGTAGAGGCAGCGGGGTCCGTCCTGCTGAAGAGGAGACTTCCAGAGTTCACCCGGAGAGCTCGGCGGACGACTTTGTCGTGATACCGGCTGAGGACAACATGATGGAGATGTGGAACGCAATTTCCTCGTCGATGTCGGCTCAGTCTACGGCCAATGGAATTGATCTCTCCATGGTTCCCGAACCGTGTGATCTCTTCGAGGACTCTCCTTTGTTCAGCACAGACAAAGAGGTTAACGACAACAGGTGGATTGCCTATTTGGAGAGGGAGCTCGACCTGCCCCAAACGTCGGCCGCTCTGGCCGCTGTGGAAGACTACATCGGAGACCCAGATGCAGAGAAGGGCGGCGCCATGGCTGCGGAGATAGACCCAACTTCCAGTTTCTTCTCCAAGCGGCCTCGATCTCCCTCTCACTTCTCCCTCTCATTCACGGATATCAGCATGGCCATGTAATTCAGGCAGGAGAATAGCCCTAAACTCTGAATCGCTACCGAGAGAAGAAAAATCCCTCCACGCATTCGTCGCGCTGTAGTTCGTCCGTGTGGTCATCGAAAACTCCATCCTCCCTAATGGATTCGTGACGAATTTCAAGACGCAACAATAAGAGAAGAGACAGAAGGCCCGCAAAAACGTGCGCAGCCAACCCCTCCGTAGCCAAGTCCGTAGTCTTCTCGGACCCACTTTGAAAATTCTGACCGATGAGAACGGCACACCCACTAAATCTCCGGAAAGACTGTAGCAGCCGTGATGAACATAGCGTGCCAACTTTGAGTCTTTTTCTTTGACATGAAATAGGCGTTATACTGGAAGGTAGTGGGTTGAGTTGGGGTGCCGCAGCAGACAGCTCCAAGATAGAAGGAAAAGAGTATCTGACGGAAAGGTTGGCGGAGGGGGGAGGGGGGTTGTGGAACATATGTGCACATTTGACCTGTCACCCTCGTCAGATTGGCCCCATGGACCTTGCGTTTTGCCTGCACTCTAGCGAACCCTGAATGCCTTAGTAACCTTTCATCTCTCCGTGTTCCTTAAGACACCCCTCAGCTCTGTGCTTTGTCATGTGACTCAGTTTGAAGATAATATATATATATATGAAGCTCTCGATTTAGAAAGATCTGATTCTTGATGAGCTTCTTGGTTGTAGTAGAAACATTTAACAGTTCCCTTCAACTTTGATAAAAAGTGATTTTTCCTTAGCATCTTTATTTTTTTGATGTCCTCTGTATTGACCAGGATCTTTAACAACCAGATATTCACCACCAATGGAATATTTTACATTTAATACTTGGTGATGATAACATAGAATGAAACGTTTCTATCCTAAAGACATCTCTACTACATAAAATGGCAATCCCAAACTAGTTATATAATTGAGGTGGTGATGAGAGGAGAATAATAACTCGATCATCTTCCCTCACTTAACCTTCAAACTATCAAGCAATATGATCAACTCCCTAGAAAGATTCATATGATCAAAAAGATTTGCTCCTTCACTCATGTTTAAGTACTAAAAATTCTTCAAATAAAAATTATTTGTAAGGATCTTTCAAAGGTACCAAATTTCTATTTTCTTAATTATGAATGATAGTTTCTACATTCATAATGTTATATATCACTCCATATGTTAGAGACAATTGTAATGTAGTAAATACTTAAAAATCTAACTCATATGGGTTTTCATCAGATAATTTTTCTTTTTTTAATTTTTTATTTTAAGCTTTGTGAAACCTTCATCCCACCAAAACTGTCTTCACTCTCTTTTCTCATATGCTAAAATCAATCTTCCCATTAGATTTTTCAACCTCAAAGCATGTCATCTATCTACGATAGCACAACTTAGATCTGATATGAAATGTAATTCTCAAAATAAGCAAAGCATATCAGAAGAAAAACAAATACAAAGCATACTAAGACAAACATCGTATTTTTCACCCCCTTTCAGAGTGAGTCTATTTAAAAGGACAAAAGGCACCGAATGTCACAAGTGATGGCAAAACTAAATGCAAATTGTCAAATAATAATATAAGTGATGCACTATTTGTGAAGTGCAAGGAAAAATCCTTTCTCTGCACCAAACGAAATAGAAACAAGTGAAAGAGACTATTTAATGTCAGATATTGTTCTTCAAAATGTTCAGGGCATAAATGTCTTTTCTTCCTGAAGTCAATAGAGGCACTTGTCAATGTTTTGGAGCTAAATGTCTTTTCTTTTCTACTTTTGGTTTGTAATTGCTACCCCATTAGCTTAGTGTTAATGTAACATTTTTGTAGGATAACTAGGGGAAAATGATTAAAAAATAGCATTGGAACCTAACCTATAGTTAATGAAAATATAAATAAAAATATCAAAACAGATTTTAGAACCATTTCATATATTTCTACCTAAATTCACAGATTAACCTTGAGAAAAATTAGTTTTTGTCCTCTTGATATAATCTGATTCAATATCCAAGGCCTGGCCTCGAGAAGTATTTTTTTTCCTTTTTTTAATTTATATTCTTCTTTTCTCTTAGCCAATAACTTACGAGATATAATAGGAGAGTCACAACAAAATCACAAGTCCATTTAAGTGGGGGGTTTAAACGGAAGAGAGAAGGAGAGAGAAAGCGGCCGCCGGCTGCAGCTAAGGCCCGGAGCGCTCCCCTATTCCCAGGGTCTGTTGGGTGACACGGCAGGCCGGCAACAGATGGCAGAGGGCAATGGGTGTGACGATGACGGTGGCGCAGGAGCAGCCGGCGCGACGGCGGCTGTGTAACGACGGCAGGGGTGTGGTGACGGCGGCAGCGTGACTGTGAGCTTGCCTCTGTCTGCTGGTGACACAGCAAAGCGGCGGAAGCAAGCGGCGTGTCGAGGGTGGCAGCAGGCGACGCGATGAGGGGGGCTGCGTGACGACGGCAGCAGCAAGTGGCGCGATGACGGCGGCGGTGTGACGACGGCGGCAGCGCGACCGCGAGCTCGTGCTCATCTGCTGGGTGACACAGCAGATGCACAAAAACTCCCTTCCATCAACATTTCCGTTTATTCGACGTTTTAGTACCATTTATACATCAAATTTCAGCTTGCATTTGTCCCATTTGATCCTTGGGTGTCGCAAGGATCAGAGGAGGATTCCTTAGTCCTATTCTCACCTTCTAGTGGGTGACACAGTGGAAGAACGAGATTTATTTTGCATTTTGTTTAATACTGCGTTTGATACATGCAGCTAGCTTAGATTTTTGTTTCAATCAAATAGGGACTGTGCTTTTATTGCATAGCAGAAAAATCCATTCTGTACATATTTTTGGGATCAACCAGCAACATACAACGATTAAGTATATTCTTATTCTCTGACCATCTTTGCGGAATATGACCTAATTCCACTAAACATTTTATATGATTTTCTGAAAATTTAGTTTGTAATTTTTTATTTTATTTTAAATTGTTGCCTTAATGTGGCATTGATGGTCCCGAATATCAGGTTCACATGTTGGATGAGGTCAGAAGTACAAATATTAATTACTATAGGTGCCACAATTACTAGGGCGGTTGGGTTTCAGATTTTGATATTGAACTAAAACCTATAAAAGATATGTATCTGTTCCCCAAGCACTTGGCATTTTTTTCAGCAAATGTAACAATAAATGATGGTAACTTATCATGCTATCCCATTTAACTAGCATTTCCACTAAGTTACTCTCCAGCCACATCATACATGTGGGTCCCAATGGGTCAATACAACCAAGTACATTAGTGCCCCTAATAACATTATTTATACACGTTTTTAACAGATTTTCAAAGAATATGATATGTCATCAAAATTAAAATATTTAATTATAGTTTTAGAATTATTCTCTGATTTTCCTAGTTTTAGGAATTTTTTCAGAATTGTTGTTGCAAGAAATCACCTAGTTTTAAGTTAAATATAGTATTGATGATTGTTATGTTATTTCTTATTTTAGGAAGATCTGACGGCCAAGATTGGTGGATGCGATGAACGGTTGAGGTCGAGGTGGATCTGGTGGACGTCTGTAATAGATTAAGGTTCTGATCATCACCACGTGGTCTAGAGAGTAATAAGATGTGAAGGAAGATCTGATGGCTGTAAGTGGCAAAGGAAGATCTGACGGCAATCATTAATAGGCGTAGGGATGGATCTTGACACAGTAATCCAACGAATGCGACTTAATTGGGTTAGAGCAGACGACCATCAAAGATTCTCAACAGTTGCCGACTTAAAAAACAACTTGTAGTGACTAGATCAAATATTGAATTTGAATCTAGAGGGATAACACAGGAAATATGTCGTGTTGTGGGTGATAATAATTTTAAAAAACCTTAGATTTAAATGGTAATATATAATCATGCTGATTTGTGATCACAAAACTTCAATAAGTATTGCACACTATCTTATTCAAATTTACTGGATAAAAAATGTTAAAATTGATTGACACTTTATTAAGGAGAAATTAGATAGTTGCATCATTTTCATGCAATAACTGACAGCCTTGTTGAAAGCCAAGGCATGCTCTAACTGAATAATTTCCTCACATCTCCTGTCTCCCTCCCAAAGAGTGGAAAATATGGAAGTTTGATACCTACTTGGAGGCCTAATTCCCCTAGAAGATTTAATAAGCCATAGTAGGTCTAGTAGGCCCATGTTTTATAAATATATTCGTTGAATCTTGAAAATGCAGAATGTGAAATGACATTTTTTGATATTTTTCTATCCATTCTTGTTTTCCTCAAACAATTAAAAACTTGTAGTGAGTACCTTATTGTTGCTTTAAAAGTGATTGTATTTTGTAGTGAGTACCTTATTACTATTGTACCTATTGATCATCCTAATCATTTTCTAGATACCCATGAGCAAGTACAGCATACTCAGATATTTTCAGCTTTTTTCCAAATTTCAGCCTCTTGTACATTAGTTTTACTTTTTAGTGTTCTTTACTTTATTTTATAAATATGCTTACATAGACAATATATACATTTTATATAGAAATAGTGAATAGAAATCTACTTCCCTAAGATTTAACAACGAACCTAATACTATCTTATCTATGTGGGATGCCCATTCAGAAATATATATTTATCATACTTGTTTATTTGTATAAGGCAAATCACCAAGAATCTGAGTGAAAGATTATTACTCAATTTAGTGAGCCCTACTGTCTATTCAAAATAAGAAGGAAAAGAGCACTAAAGAGCAAGGATGGTCACAACATTTTGACAAAGTAGAATCCCATAATTCAAAACCCTTTGTATAATGTTATAGCCAAATTCTTCATCCTTGAGTTACTAAAATATCTTTGAAATCAATAAAATAGCTTAGCTAAGATGAGGGTACCAACTACACTATTCTGGTGGGCCAATAAAGTTCAGCCCTACTGTAATAAAGATCTAGATCCAGTGAAGGGCTAATCCTTCCAGAAGTAGGATACAAGTTCATTGAATAGATCTCTTTGATTATTTTCTAAT